AATGTAAAAATGAGTTCGATCCCTGGTCTGGGATGTGTGTATAAATGAACTCAGTCGAAGCGGGATGAATAATAACTGTGCAGGCCAAGGTTAAAGAATACGGTTCAGTTTTGTAGGTTACTGACGAAGGCCGGATGGCACAGCGGTTGAAACGTTGTGATAACACTAACAAAGGTGAGAACAATAATCGAATTCACCCCAGTCAAAGCAGTAAAGCCACTAAGACCCAAGGGGTTACTGGATATGGAAGAATTAGAAAACAGAAACATTGCTAAAGAGTGAGAACAGAAGTGTAATTATGAGGGCAGTAGAAAGCCATCGACATTGCATTTAAATTTTTGAAGATTAAAGTTGGCTGGAAAGCTTGGTACCTGAAAAGAGTTCCACAAACAAGAAGTGCGAGGAAAGAAACTGTTAGCGTAGAACTACTAGTTACATTCAAATGTGAGTTGATGAGACCTTACTACCAATCTAGTACTGCGCTTAAATTTATAAAGCCTAGTTACCATAGCGAAGTGTTTATTCGAACAATTACCATAAAAGTGTTTATAGGAATGTCACTGGGAAGCGACATTATGGCGCTGGGAAAGTAACTGAAGACGAGGTGCCAGATCAGGACTAATAATATTGCTAATTCTTCTTTGGTTATTATTAAGAATCTTTTAATATATAAATAAAAAAAATTAAGGCAACCTGCCTGTTCGTTTTTTTTTTTTTGTTCTTTCACGGATGTGTCTCTAATGCAGGCAAACAAACTTAATATGTTTCTTATAAAAATGTTTCATTTAAAAGTAACACAGAAATTAATTTTGATTAGTGAAACTGTTGGCAATCATCTGAATTCCATTAACGGAAAAAATCAAAACAATATGGCGGTTGATAAATTTGTAGCAAACTTCGAACTTAGTAAACTATCAGGCATTTCCCCGTTGCGATAAATGCTGAACAACAGAGGAATTCACTTATACACTTTGAAATATCTAGCTTTCTCTGTCAAGGAAGAAAATCACTATTTACCGGAAGAGGTGTAATCGCTAATCCACACCGGAAGAAAAATATAACATCAGCGAAACAATGCCAAACAAATATAAAACAGTTAGTAGTAGTAAAAAAAAGAAAAAAGAAAAAAAAAGCAATAACAACGGAAAGTCAAAAATAATGTCCAGCTCTTTAGTGGGTACTGAAGGCCCTAAAATAGTGTTTTGTAATTAAATAATTTGCAGATAGTAAAAGAGAACAAGAAGAAAAAATATTAATTCTAAGAAGAAAGAATGCAGGTTGTCAGTAAAAGAGACAATGAAAGGTAGGTAGGAATTGGGGACGTGAAAATCAAGCCAATGAAGAAATTTATCGAAAGTTTTAATAAAGAAAATTCCTCGAGGTACTGTAGGACATTGTCGCAATATTAGTACTTTATTAGGTTTAAAAAAAAACCGTTTAAAATTATATATCTCATTTAGCTATTAATTTTCTTGAACTATCTTGATTGACGGCAAGGTCCTATCATTTTACAGTTGAAATGGCTAGATGTAACTGTAAGTTCTATGCTAACAGTTTATATCTAATCGCGTTTTTTTTTCTATTCCACCTTCTTGATTGATTTTCAAGAGTTTAAATGCAATGTCAATCGTTATCTTCTATCTTCTTAATTCCTATTATTTTATTTTCCTCTCTCCTAAATGTTTTTTTTTTTTTTCTCATATTCTCTAACACTCAGTGACCTCTTGCGTTTTAGTGGCTTTGTTGCCTTGGGTTTTTTTATGTTCAGTTTTTATCACAGAGTTTTAGGGCCAATGGCGAAAATGAAAAGAAAACCAGTTTTAAAATTAGTCGCGGAGTATTATTTAATGGTGCATTTATTTCCACACAAAATGGCCATTGAATTAATTTTTCGAACAATCATGTTTGATTTGTTTAAATTCATTGATACTGACCGAAACACAAAGCATTTGCCAACAAATATTACAATGTCTGATTTGTAAAAAAAAGAAAAAATGGTAATACCAAAGAAATATCATAAAATTCTATTAATTTTGCACCCACCCCACAAAACATATATATAGTAACACATATCGTTGACGCCTAACAAAACACGTCAGCCCATGTTAATTATAATGGACAGTCCTCAAAGAAAACGAAGAGCCAATTTCGAATTCCAGTTGTGTGCAAATACCCTTGGTAAGGAATGAATCCATCTCTTTACCCCTGCTATGGGTTAAATAATTGTACATGTATCTGGAAAAATAAATGCTATTATAAAAAAATGCTAATTGAATATATGCTCACAAAAATAATTATTGTTACAATCTAAAATATCTTTCGGTTTCGAATAACCTACAAAGGGTTGATAAACTGTAAAAAAGATATCAATCACTTTCCATATTAAATCTTTTCTGATGAACATATTCTTTCTGTATATTTAAATGTTGCCACGTTATTAACGGATTCTACCACAGTAGAAATTTGAAACCTATTTTGGAGTCTGTTATCTTTTCTTATC